AAGTTAAAATTTTGAATTTTATATATTGGATTGTGTTTTAAAATGATAAATCATGAAATTGGCAGTAGAGTGTAAAAATGGATAGTTTCCATCATTAAAGAAAAGGTAGTCTAAAGATGACTCTTGATAATTAACGTTTATTTGCACAACCATACCATCACATTTTTGGGCAAAAGCAATCAGATTTGACAAATTAACTTTGACATCTAAAGCTTTCTAAGATGTTCTGAATATTAAATCCTACTTACTTTTAGTGGAGAAACTTTTATCTGAAAAATGGAGAAATTCTAAAGATAAACACAATGTGTTTTTTCAGTATTGCATTTAGTTTTGAATCTTTCAAATAAGGAGAACAGTTTTGTCTTTGGAAGAAAGAAAAGAGGAATTTGATTTCAGAAGAATTTTTTGCAATAGTGCCTGGACAAGTACTCTGTTTCAATTTAGGGCTGATGAACCTTTTTTTTTCTCAGTGATAATAATCACAAAAAAATAGGAATGTAATATGGTGATGGCCAAACTCAAAGGGTCTAGAGGTCCATTTGAGGTAAACACCCCAAGGTTAGATGATTTTTCAAATCTTTTCTGCAGATCAGTTAAAAAATATTGCAAGACTTTTGCTGGGTTTTTGGTTGTAGCTGTCTTGGTCTTTGGGTAGATGTGATATCTTTTATTAGACCAGCTGCGTTGTTGGAAAAAAGTTCTTTGCAAGCTTTTGGATGCAATCACCCTTCTTCAGGTTTAGGAAATCTCTGCTCTTCTGAGACTTCATTCCTTGGAGTCTCAGAACAGCAGAGACTCCCTATGCCTGAAGAAGGGTGATTGTGCCCAAAAGCCTGCAATACTTTTGGTATTTTCTGTTCTAGTTAGAATTTTTTTCCCCGGCTGAGTCTTTTTCCAAGGATTTCTGCATTTCTGTTTCTGTCAGTGAGCCAAAAGTGTGAAAATATGTTAATTAGTTAGCATATTTCTCATTATCTTTTAAACTTGACTAATGTGGCATTCCTTGGGGTCAGTAAGATGAAAGAAGAAAAACTCAAATGTTTGGTTAAAAGGCAACAGGCACTGTTTTATAAATATGACAGCTCTTGAATCCAGATATTTGTTTTTACTTTTTGTTTATAACTGGAAGCCTCTCCCTTCCAGTTCATTTTTAGGATACAATATAAATATATTGCTATTCGGACAGCTTTGCTTTCCCTCAGGTCAGGGTTAGTACTATCTTATACTGGGGCAATTTACTGTGATTAAACACATGTGTAGATGCTGACTGTGGGCATAAATTGTCTGCCACCTAGCCACACAGCTCCGCACTTTCAGCACCTTGTGCCCCAGTTATTCCCTCCACTGCCCAGTGCTGCCACCCAGAGCCCAGGGCTGACCTCCTTTCCCCCCACATACACCCTGCCAGCCCAGCCCAGCCCGGCTCTACCCCAATTCAAATTGCTGCTGTCCTGGGTGGACATATAGATGCTGCACCCTGGACTAGTTTACTCCAGTTGAAACTGCTCTGAGGCTTATTGCTTCACATTAATTGCACGTGTAGACACACCCATTGAGAATGTCTACATGTGCAATTAATGCGAAGCAGTAAACTCCAGAATTTATTGCTCCCAGGTGGATTGTTTGAATGTGCACATGGGAGTTCTTCATGTTGAGCTAGGTTGGAGCAGCCCCAGCTGGCAGGGTGTTCTGGGGATCAGCCTGCCAGCCCGGAGCTGCTCCCCACTAGCTCAACATGCTACAGAGGGACTGACTTGGACACAAGAGTGCTCCAGTGCAGGGCTAGCCAGTAGGCAGTCCCTGCACCAAAGCACCCTCATGTCCCAGCCAGCCCCATCAGAGTCTACCCATGAACTGCTGCGGAGTAAAAAACCACAGAGTTAATTAGTTTACTCCAGTCAAATTGCCCTGCATGTGTGGACATTGAGACATTTACTGCGGAGCTAATTAGTCTACTGCAGTAAACATCTCATGTAGACACACCTATTGAGTAGCAATTTACTTTAAAAATATAGTCTCTTTAGAACTATACAAGCAATGAGACACCATCAAGATGAGTAAAGGTAGTGGAGTCAGTTCTGAATTAAATGTAGTAAACTCAGTTGATGCATTTTCTCTTGTATCTAGAAGATGGAATAAGTTTGTAAACTCAGTTGATGCATTTTCCCTTGTATCTAGAAGATGGAATAAGTTTTTAGTACAATTGTATGTTAAAATGCTTTCAAAGCTTTTCAGAACAATACTAAAAGTTTATATTTGTATTAACTTATCAAAAAGAAAATAAAAAGTCAACAGTGAATTTATGTTTGCTTAATGCATTAGAATTTTATAGTATATAAATGTGTATTACATCTTATAAAGTTTAGTAGTTTAGCCTTAGGCTTGAAATTTGACACTCTCTTCTCCATGTTTAATGTCAGAATCATATTATTCCCCATTAGCAAACTAACTGCAGAACCAAGATTTAGAAACAATGTCATTTTTACAGCAAGATTTTAGCATAGAAGGTCATATTAAATCTTAATACACCAGCATTTGATGATGACAAGCCCAAAGGGTTTGTCTTTTAAAAAAGCTTTCCTGTTGATTAGTTTAAAAGTGTGTATATTTTATTTCTAATCCAAGCAGAAAACTGAGTGCAAAGGAGGTCTCTGAAGATGCAGTATATATAATGTTATTTTGTTTTGCTATATGAGTAATGTGCAGACATAACTGCCCCAGGCTACTTGAAAATTGAGGTAGAGAAAGATCATGAACAAATAGTTTCAGACTTTGGTAAAATAAATACTTAATACTGTAGTAAAAACCTTTATCTCATTGTTAGTACAAATATAGGAAAACTTCCAAAAGTAAATATGGCATGTGCCTATAGTAGTATAGGATTCAATAAACAAATTCAGCCTTAATATACTAAGCAAGTATGTGGTTTTGTTTAAATGGTACAGAAAAATTAAGTTTGTTGTTTAAATCTCTTTGAAAGAGAACCTTTTCAAAATGTCTTGTAAAGAACAGTTTGCCATAACAGACTTCCAAACACAGTTCTTCCCATCTTTCTGCTCATTGTTCTCCTGATTTCCTGCTTCTTTACTTTTCTTGTTTTCTTGCACAGACCACCAGACTACACCCACAATCACATTTGGGAAACTTTCCTACATGTGGTTTTGCAGTTTCCCCTCTGCTTTTCATCACTGGTTGAAGGTTCTGTCCCTATATTTAGCTGGCTTCACAATGGATTTCTAAGTCTGAGATCGCTTATTTGTTACTAAATTGTTTATACAGTATTCATCAGTCTAGTTTTACAATACTGCTTCACAAAAGGCAGAATATATACTCTTGCCACAGTATATATTTGATGTGTAGAGCACAGTTACCTGGGGAAAAGCCTAAATGAACTATAGAAATCTGAAATCTACACATTATTTCATTATTTGGTGGGGCTGGAGACAAATTAATCACCTCTTCATGAAACAGCTTTCAAAACCATGAAGGAAAATCCTAGAGATACAAGAACTATCCATATAGCCAAAACCATTTCCATGGAGGTTGAGTACATCACTTCAAAGGGATAGAACTAGAGTTGACAGTTGGAAAGCCAGGTAAAAAGTAATACAAATATGTTCAGCGTCATCTTTTTTAACAATGTTCTCGACAGGTACAGGGAGCCATCCTCCACCCTTCTGTCTCTGAGTACCTGAACCCCTTTCCAAATCCTGAAGACCTCATCTTACATGGTACCTACTGAGAGGAAACATTTTATAAAACTGTTTCAACCTTCCCCTACTTCCTTTCCCTAGCTTACATCTGATCATTCAGCTTTCCCAAGGGCAGCATAATATTTGTAGTCAGTGATTTTTCAGATAGAAGTATTACTCTGTGAGCTTTCTGCTGTCTTTGATCAGTAATTTTAAGAAAAGGAAGAATTTTCATGTCAAAAAGTTTGCTTTATATTTTAGGATCCCACCTGTTCTGAGCATCCTCACCTTATCCTCTGTCTACCTATCCTCTATCCCACTGAAGCAGTTTCATAAACTCAAGTCACAAATCTTTTCACAGCTTTGAATAACAAGCAAGCAGATACTCTCTTTTCCTGATATTGTTTCTAACCATTACTAGCTAAGCTAAAAAATAGATTGTTTGAAATGGACACACATTATATGGGGAACATCATACCAGATAAATTATGGATATATTTACTTTACATTTACTGTGAAGTGCAATGCAGCTCTGGTGTATAACATTGGTCAATGATTATATAATTCTGCCATTTAAGAGCTTGCTTTCAAGCAAGGTTGTTAGATTTACGTTATATATGCTTTTAAGTACTACATGCTGCAAGGCACTTTATCGCATAATGAGCCGTTCCTTTTTGCCTAAGGCAGCAGAATGAATTTCATATCCGTTAGTTCCATTTATCTGTGCCAAGACTTCTTTTTTCCCCTCTGTTTTATACATTAATATATAACATTTGTCTGGAAAGTTGCATTGATCAATAAACAAAATAGTATTTTGCCATTATATTTTTACAAAATATTGTTGGTATATCCTTCAGCTTATTTTATGTATGTTACAGCTTGTTTGCTCATCACCCAGATCCCATGTAGGGCATCCAATATGTTCAATTGCTACATCAGATGCTCCAAAGAGCAATATTATTGTGTGTGATACTCAGTGATATGATTGGTGTAACCTTCTTTAAGATGATGTCACTAATATTTCTCAATGCTCATTTATACTGGTGTGAGCAGATAAGAAGGCACCTTGTCATGAGCTATCAGATCTAATGTGAAAGGCAAAAGGAGTTCTTGGCTACCTGTAAATAGTTTATGCTTAATATGGAAACCAATATGGGTTTTAAATTAGCTCTTTCTCTCACCATGTGTCTCTTACTAAAATCCTCCTCAGACAGAATTTCTGACATAATATTCATGTTTATATTTTTATTTGTGAATCAAATGAAGTTGACTAATTTTAAAAATCAGGTTCTTTTGATTTGTACATAGGATGCTGGGGAAATGGTTCGGTCCTTTGTTGGTGGCTTGGAACTGATAGTCAATTTATTAAAATCAGAGCATAAAGAAGTTTTAGCAAGCGTGTGTGCTGCTATTACCAACATAGCCAAAGATGAAGAGAATTTAGCTGTTATAACAGATCATGGTGTCGTCCCTCTGTTGTCCAGATTAGCAAACACGGTAAGTCACATCTTTTTGTGATGTTCATTCTGGCTATTCCTGATTTGTCCCCAGTACCCAGCCCCAGGTTCTCTGTGATCTCTAGGGCAGGCACAGGGGATGAGTCTGGAACAGCCTCACAAGTGAGTGTACAGATCAGGAGTACCTCAGTGGACTCAGGTGGGCAAGACATGCTCAAGCCTATGCTTCCCAGGACCCACTGCTGACACTGTATTGACAAAATGACTGAAAGCTACCTAAATGCCTTCTAGACATGTAATAGGCAGTATAGACTTTGGTGTTAAACTGTTCTATGGATGGGAGTGCTGTAGCTTTGGAGACTGGGCTCCATTTTAGTAATCTTGCAAAGTATTAAAAAGAGAAGATAATGTTGCTTTTTTGAGTTGTAGCTGCCCTGTGGGAGGAATGTCGGATAAAGAGTGAACCATACATTTTAATGGCGTATAAAAGTCCTTTTCAGGATCTCACTTGTGACACCACACAACACATTATGCCAGCACCTGATGATTTTAATACTAATATTGCCAATTTTCCAGACAGCATAGATAAACACCTGAATCTTTAAAAATACACAGTATCTTTTAAGCACAGAATACTAAGTAGCTGCCAACTCCATTGTACGCCTGTAAGGCTTTTGGTAACTTGGGTCATAGTACTTTCTTTCTTTCCTTGTCATTAACACAAGAGTAAAGGTGTGTGTGACAGGGCAGCTGGTGCCCCTGTCCCTTTACAAGAGCAAGCAACTTGAGAAGCAGCTTGCAAGTGGGCTGACTGGAGAGTCACCAGACCAGCAGAGGGTGGGGCTGGTGTTATATAAGCCCAAGGCCTCATCTGTCCAGGCAGCCTAGCCCTGAAAGCTATGAAAAAGCTCCTGGCAGCAGAGCGACAAGGCAGCAGGGCTCCTGAAGTGACAGTGAAACTGGGTAAGTGACTCTGCAGGCCTGGAAATAGGAGACAGCTGCCTGGGACAGGGAGGAAGGCTTGTTTGTGCAGGTAGATGTTCCTTATTTTATGTTAAGCCCAGAGAGAGTTTGGGTGTCTGCCAGAGGGAAGAGGTGTTTTGTTTAAAAATCACATTGGCAGTTTAGCCTTGAGCCCTGCTGGGGCAGGCTCACAGCCTACTCAGAGAGCCAGTATCTCAGGAGGGGTGTGGCAGTGCACCTTTGGGTGCCTGCCACTTTAAGGGCAGAGGCAGGCAGCGACCAGGTGCCTGCTGAGGGCAGCCATTTTGGGAACACTAGGTATATAAAGGCTGCAGTTTTCTGCTGCTAGCCCAGGCAGAAACATCACCTGTCTGAGCTGCATGGGACATCGAGCGGTGAGAGCAGGAGGCTCTTGATCCTGGGCATGACCTAAAACTGCACCTTGCCAGGGAAGAGTGGCCTGCTGGGGCTCCTAGTGGCATGGGAGCCCCCAGGAAATGCCATCCCAGTTACCTCCTGGGCGAAAGGCAGGTAGGGGCACCTTAACCCCAGTCCCCACCATCTGGTGGTAATTCTGAGAGCTAGGGGAGTAGTGGGGGACCAGGTGTGCCCACGTGTAGGTGCCCAGCAGGGATGCAGATCCCAGAGACCCCAGAGGGGGTAGTGTGTAGAGCATTGGGAGGCCTTGCACGGGGTAGGGCTGAATTTAGAGTAGGTCTAAAGTGCTGTGCGTGTGAGGGGGCTGAGTAGGGCTGAAATGCGAGTAGGCCTGAAATGCAGTCCCAGGAGCATGCTGGGAGTAAGCCTGAAGGCCAGTGCAAGGGCCAGCCCGTGAGAAGTTGGTTGCAAGCTTGAGACGGAGACCCCAGAGTGGGGCATAGTGTAGAGTTGCCCGGTGAGGGGCTTGGAGCAGAATTAGCCCAGGGTTTGGCACAGCACTGGACCACGTACAGTAGAGGAACTCGTGTGAACCAAAGGACTGTGTGGCAAGGCCAGTATGTGAGGAGCAAAGCCTGATGATCCAAGAGGAGCCATTCAAGGAGGAGCAAGGGCAGTGGAATGTGGCCCAGTAATGGCAGTATTCCAGAGGCCCCGGTGAGAGGGGGGCGGAGTGTAAGAGGCTTCCTGTGAGAGGGGAGGTGGTATGAATGTGTGGGTGAGTGGAGCCCATCTTTGGACTGGGTCTGCTCCAGACTCAGACTGGGGAGCAATACTAATCTGGATGCCATTTGCGAGACATGGGTTATGATGTAGAGGAGGTTTGGAGCTGCAGATAGCACCCCTGGCATCAGGGCAGTAACAGGCAGTCTCCTGCAATATACCAACAGTTTATGGAACACCAAAGTCATGGCAGGAGAGACTGGGTAGACTGCCCCATGGAGATAGGTAGACGGGCCTGCATGAGATGGGGCCCTGAGTGTGCCCCCTGTCACAAGGGGCTTTAGATGGAGACTGCCAGGACCAGGAAGCTTGGAGATCCCTACTGGCCCAGGAGTGGAGCCAGAGCCCAGGAGGGGCCAAAGGTTGGGGTGGGGGGGGAGGTCACTGGCAAAGACTAAGTCCAAGGAGGGCAAGCTTGGCCAGGGATCCTGGAGTTCTCAACTGGCCTGAGAGTGGGGCCAGAGCCCAGGAGGGGCTAAAGGTCTAGGGGAGACTGCAGACAGGGACTGCCAGAGCTGGGCAGCCTGGAGATCTCTACTGGCCTGGGAGCAGGTTGAGGCCCAGGAGTGGCCACAACCAGAGACTGATAGGAAATCCCAGTGAGGGAGGCTGGAGACTAGAAGCCAAGTCCTTTACTCTGGGCCTGGGCTAAAGGGCCCAGTGAGAGCATAGGAGGAAGAGGCCAATAAAGCCAAGACCTTTACAGAGTTAATGACAGTACAGTAACACCCGCAAGGCATGGGGCATGGTGTAGGGTAGAACGAAGCCATGCAATGAGCCCTTAAGGCTACAGGCTGAGAGGGCCTATTAAGCCTGAGGCCTAAACTGAGAGTAGGGGAGATCCAGGAAGGGGGTCTGGTGGTGATTTACACAGATTCAGGCTCACTCTAAAGCTCACAGGCAGCTTCCCTGACAGAGTATTCATTAAGAATTACACATGGTGAGCGAGTAATCAAGGAAGGGCTACATTAGAGTCTGAGCCAGCCAGGAGCCACACAGCTACCAGGGGTTGTCATGGCCACCCCTGTGGCCCAGTCCTGTCACAGTGTGTATATGAGGGCAAAGTGAAAAAAACGGTGTTATATTGTTTCTCACATTTACAGAAATGCATCTTCAAATTAAGTGTTGTATTTTGTTTCCTCCAGCTTTGTGATTCCATTACAATGACAGTATGACTGTCCTTCAAATGTCTGGAAATATGGAATCTATATCTTTAAGAAAATAATTTAACAAAATGTTTTTTCTTTGCTCAGAACAATGACAAGTTAAGGCGTCATTTAGCAGAGGCTGTTTCTCGCTGTTGTATGTGGGGAAGCAACAGAATTGCCTTTGGAGAGACCAAAGCTGTGGCCCCTTTAGTACATTACTTGAAATCAGATGACACAGCAGTTCATCGAGCTACTGCTCAGGCCTTGTACCAACTTTCAGAGGACCCCAATAACTGCATCACAATGCATGAAAATGGAGTGGTGAAGGTAAGATGAAAAATATGTGTAACTGAAGGTAAGATGAAGGTAAGATGGAAAATATGTGTAACTTACACTGTTAAATGCATTGATATGATCAGAAAACTAGGTCCATCATTTCTGTATTCCTGCCTGTTTCAGATCTTATTTTTATTACAGAGAACAGTGAATTAGAGAACAATATTGATACTTGAAAGATGTCAAGTGAATGACTGACAGGAATGGTAATATAACATGGAGCATTCACCTCTAGGTTATTGACTCATGCTGTAACTTGTAAGTCAGGGGTTTTCAAAGTTTTTACGCTGTGGTCCGGCAAACCATGGCCCAGCAGTCACAGCTGACCACAGTCAGAATATCCAGCCAGAAGACAGGTAAGGACACCCCCAGGCGGCGGGGGAGGGGGACCAAGCCCTGCACTGCCACGGCTCTGCAGAAGGAGCCGTAGTCTCTGTGCTGGGCTCTGGGAGACTGCGGTTTGCCAGTCCGCGGCCACTTCCAGTCTGGCAGCCAACCATGCTGCAGACTGGCAGCTGACCCACCGCGGCCCAGCACTGGGCTGTGGCCCAGGGATTGAGAACCCCTGTTCTAGGTTATACTCTGTACCCAGAATGATAGAGATGCAGTCATCATTATCTTATCATTGTAAACTGGTTTGCAAGGTGAGCTAGTGGATTACCTTAGTGGATGATTGTCTGCTGTGGCAGAGAACCCCTGAGTAGTTAAAGGAATTGAGAGCAGATGGATCCACTTGTGCATCTATGATCTCGTTAAACCAAAGGAACAAGGACCTGTGTCAGTGCACATGAACCTGTTTCCGTGCATTCTGCATTAACTTACTAGAAGGCTCCTTTTGGAAGTTCAATAGAAACACATTCCTTAAGAATTTTTCTCTGATATGAATTTTTCTTCCTAGCAGAAGATTTTTCTGGCAAAGTTTTTTGTCTCAGAAGTTGAATCCAGTGTAGGTCTTCCCTTGGGATTGGACAGACAAGGGTTTATTGTTTGGTTGGCAGATTCCTTCTCTTATTTTATCATACAAATTAAGTGTTCTGGAATTAAAAGGTTTGATTTTTAAAGTGCGGTATTAGTGAGAGTTTAAGGACCCCTCTACATGTTACAGGTATCATGCAATTAACTGGTTAATGGTGCAGTTACCTTAAGACCAGCTACATGTGCAAAGTACCTATCACGCCATAAAAAGCTCCAGCCACCTGTAAGGTTAGACGTAAAAAATGTGTACTAACTTTATATCTGGTTATTATTGAGTTTTAATTTGCACATGTAGTAGAGTGTTCCCTGTGGCTGGGAACTCCATCAGCTGATGGGGCTCCCAGTTGCAGAGGTGCAGAATGCCAAGCTGGGCCTGGGAGTCCCACAGCTAAGGAGACTCTCAACCCCAGCACCTGCATGTATTGTGCAAATGCAGACACTGGGTCCACTGTGATCTCCCAGATTTGAGGTTTTCATGCCCCCCCAAAACTGGGAGATCCCAGCCTTGGGGTTTCATGTACCCCTAGGACTGGGAGATTGCAGCAGCTGTATCTCCCAGCTGCTGGCATGTGTGGGGTGTCTTTGAGGCTTCCTGACAGTGCAGGGGAACCTGAAATTGGGCTCCCCCTGCACCAGCAGTAAGGTGAGATGAGATCTAATGATCACTCTCACAATTCTACCTTCTTCCATGCACATGTGGCATGGCAGGAGGCACAATTTATAGGGATTGCGCATTAAAACCCATTGTGCCTTTACCTACATGGGTAGGGGGGACCTTAAAGTCACATCAAAGTTATGAAAGTGAAAGTTATACTTGTATTAATGTATTTTTTCACATGTATAAAGAGTTCTATAGAGAATGGTCTTGCTTTTGAGACTGCTTAGCTCATCTCCATAGCATATCCACATAACTACAGTAACCACTACACTTAGTATTATAACCAGTACAAATCTCAGCTGACAAGCCAAGACCTGAACAGACTCAAATATGAACTATTCTTTCACCTCTGGAAGCTAGTTCATTCAGGTCAGGAAGGATACATGCTGAATATTTGGTGAGAGAAATTTTATACTGTCATTGCAGTTGACCTTACAACTGTCTATAGATACGGATAACTTTAGCGTCTGGTGCTCTCTTGCCGTGTTGGTGTCTTTTATTGCTACTTGTCCATAATCTTTTGTGAACATCTGGTTCTAGCACAAGTGTGTACCCATCGTTCTTTTCCTATTTTCTGCCCTAATACCATTTGTTTCTTTCACTCATTGTATGAAGTCTAAAATTAGATTGGAATTTCTCTGATGAAGTACTATATACCATATTTATCTGAATATTACATGCCCTTTTCTCCCTAAAATTAGCTTTCCAAAATTGGGTTGAATATCTTCAGTGGGGAAGCTACTTTTCTTCTCAGAATACAAGCAGTGGCATTTCTATTCAGGCAGTACTGAGGGAGTCAATTAGCTACATGGTTTATTGGAAGCTACTTGATTCCTACTAATTGCTCTTCACTCAACATGTGTTAACAACCCATTCTCCTTTTTAATGGTCTCAATTTTCCACTAATCAAGTTTGCTGAAACATTTGCCATTTAACCACTCCTTGTTTCTCTTCTCCCATTTCACAGTCCTGCAGACTGTTTTTAACTCTTTTCAAAATCCTAGATCTGTCCATTGAGTCAGCAGCAGCCACAGTTTAAGCTTCTGGCAGAGCAGCCAAGGGTTACTGACAGTTCGACTGTGAAAAAGTTAAAACTATAGCTTTTGCCTAAGCAGGAAAAGGAGTGTGAGTGAGCTGAAAATGAGACTCCGTCCCAGCTGTATGCAGCCGTAACTCCGGAAAATTTTTTCCTTCATTCTGCTTTCCCCAAAATAAGATGCAGGTCTTATTTGGAAGTATGTGGAGTGCAAGAAAATTGAGGAAGTGGGGGAGGGGTTGTAAAGCTTCCATACATTGTAGATACGATATGACAGAGGAGGAGGAGGAAGATAAAATTGTTTCATTTTATAAATATTTCACCTGGATCTATGTTCATTTTTAATTTTGCACTTTAAATAAACAGCAACTATTTATCACTTACTGATAGACTTTGTTAGTGTTTCCTAAAAGAGAAGGTGGTGGTTTACACAAGCGTTTCACAATTTATAGACCTTACTTTATTATTCATCATTCAGTAAAATAAAAATGATTGCATATATTATATATATTGTTTATTATACACACAACTGACACTACAAGAATATAATTCAGGTTGCAAAGACAAGCATCCAACAGTTAAGAAATTTTAAAATTAATTCAGCCCCTTTGTGCATATATGTTATAATTACAGATTGCAGAATGTTTTGTGCACAGATCAGTGCTTCATTTGCTGCACAGCATGGACCAGATTGGGGAATAAATCAGAGCTGTGCACTGTTCTGTAGTGCTGCTACTACAATTGTTGCAGAAGTTGGCATGCATACAGTGATTGAAGCAGGATGTTTTGGGAAGAGAGAGGGTGGTTTGATGGTTAAAGCTGTTGAATGCTGCCCTGAAGAATGTAATTCTCTCTTTCTGTCTGCTAAAAAGTTCTACATAAAAAAGTTCTCAGGAAAATCGCCTGCACCAGAGTTTTCAGGGGTGTGAAACTTGCTAATTCTGTACAGGCAGTCCTTAGACTTACGACACAATTGGTTCCTGAAAACCGCACCTTAAGTCAAAACGTTGTAACTCAAAACCAATTTTCTCATAAGAAACAATGTTATAAATGGGGGATTTGTTCCTGAACCAAGGCCCGATACCCTATTTTCTCCAAAAATACTCCAGAATGTTGTATTAGATCAATTATAGATGAGTAATATAACTACATTAATGTATTTATACTGTAAACAGCAATCATATTGATTTGGAAGGACTTCTTTGAAGTGACTTTGCTGACTTTTGAACAGCTCTTGGTTGGACTTTTTGAAGGGTTCTTGGCTGAAGTCTTCTCAAGAGTCTTGGCTGCAGGTTTTTCTGGAGTCTTGTCTGGTTTCTTAAAGAAAGTGTCCAAGGAAGTTTGGACAGATATTCTCCAGGGAGATGAGTGACGCAGCGAACTTGTTCGCTGGCGTGGCATTGCATCCGATCAAGTGTTGTAAAGTCGAAACTGGCATTGTAAAGTTGAAACAGGGTGTCAATTTATAAACCTTGTAAGTGCATAACATTGTAACTCGAAACATTGTAAGTTGAGGACTGCCTGTATTTCCCATTTTCTGAGGTCTATCTTGAGACATGGGGGCTGATTTGCCAAAGTGCTGCTGACCATTCTCAGGTGCACCAAAAGTCTTGAGAGTTATCGTTTGACACGCAAAGTGATATGTAATACTAAGCACTCTGAAAAATCATGTCTTTAATTTGCACGCCCCAAATTAGCAGATCCATTTTTGGTGCCTCAGATCCATATCTGTAAAAATGGCCATAACATCCCCTCATCTTAATTGGACAGGAGGGGTGATCTGGTGCTTCTTAGAGCATGTTCCTCTCCAACACATCAATGGAAAAAATTTTATAATTTTTTTTGTAAGGCATTCAGACACTATTATAATTAAGTGAACACTCTGTTCAGGGTGCATTTAAATAGTGTGCAGTAAATAGGGCCTAAGTCTGCACATTAAAATATGAGGATAAAGCAAAATATTCCACAGCTGCTCATTAACTTAGCACCATCAATATTGTGCACTGGAGGTGAGGGGCCTATGAAAAAATATTCTGTGATTGTGTAACTTAATGATTGCATCAGTGTGTGTGTGTGTGTGTGTGTGTGTATCTATTCAAATGGGTTTTCAGACCCACCACAGAGACCTTTGCCCCTTGATCTAATGAAATAATTGGTAGCAGTAGAAGACTGTCATCTAGGCAGACCAGGAATAGAAGAGTTTGGGACTTTCACAACAATTTGTTGATAGCAGAGGAATAACAAGACTCTGGAATCCTGGATCCTGTTTGATGTGTTGGAGAGGAAAGTGCTCCAAGAAGCACCAGTTCCGCCCTCTTGCCC